CGAACAAAAGAGGAAACGTGTGGAGTCATCGGTGGGTGTTTTGGAACATTTTGCAAGAAATGAGTCAGATTTCTTGGGCAAACTGGTAACTGGTGATGAGACATGGATCTACTGTTATGATCCTGAGACAAAGAAACAGTTTAAGGAATGGAGGCACAGTGGTTCCCTCAGACCAAAGAAGTTCCAAGTGCAAAGGTTGGTGCAGAAGCAAATGGCAACATTTTGGGGGAATAAGAAGGGAGTTCTGTTGGTGGACTACCTCCAACAGGGTTCAACCATTAATACAAAATATTACTATACTTTATTGATGAAGTTGAGAGAAAACATCAAGGAAAAACGTTGAGGAAAGCTCTCCAAAGGTGTCATCCTGTTGCATGGCAACGCCTCGTCACACACTGCAGGTGAAACAATGACAAAACTGATGTCCTTAAGCTTTCAAGTGATGCCCCATTCACCCTATTCTCCCGACCTGGCTCCTTCTGACTATTATCTGTTCCCCAGACTTAAAAAACACCTAAAGGGACAACGATTTGGGAGTGTTCTGGAGGCAACTAATACTGCAAATGAGTGGTTACACCAGCAGTCGGAAGAATTTTATTTGCAGGGACTTAAGAAGCTGCAGGACAGATGTCGCAAGTGGATTGACTTCCTGGGGGAATGTAAAGAATAGTGTGGCAGTTACAGCTTCCTAGCTCAATTTTTTCTGGGAAAGGCTCAATACTTATCAGCACCCCCTCGTAAAAGGGAAGAGGGGACAAAGAAGGAGTTGTCAAGAAAGCAAAGAGAAAAAGGGTGGCCCTACTTGCTAGTGGTCTGGGACTCCTGCCTTAGCTACAAGAACTGCAATTACTGAAGTCCAAAATGGTGGCTACATACTTGGAGAATGCACCTCCATTGATTTAAAATATCCATCTCCAGTCACTTATCTCCGTTTCTGTAGATAAAATGATTTGCAAGCATTGAACAAACTATCCTCTTGTTGCTTTCTAATCAAAGCATGTGGCCCTGCAGTGGCATGGAGCTGGCTCCACGCTTTCAAGTCACCATTTTCAAACTTAACCCATCTCCCATGATTAGAATATCTTGCCGTGATGAATTACTTACTATTCTGCTTTCCCCCAAGTTTCGTAATGCTCAGTTTAATGAAAAGACATAGCTTGCCTGAATGGAGAAATGATTCTTAATTCAGCATGATTGTACTTGTTTATTTTAAAAATGTATAAATTTTAGAAAACATGATATGGAATCCCTGCTAATTCCATGCAGCAGTATATACAGGGATAGATAACATTAATGTAAAAATCAAATCTTTGGGATGCAAAATTTGCTTTTTCAGAATTTGATGACGCAGCCAACTTGCTGGCAGCGAATCCAGATGCTGTCACAATAAGCATTGATGAACCTACTGAGAAACCAAAGAAAAAGCATGGACATCTCCAAGATTCTACAAGAGAAGAAGACGATGAGCTATTGGGAACTGATGCTTCAGATAAAACTGAGGTCAGATAATAATTCAAGGATTCTGTCTCACAGTGTTACTCAGTATTTAACACGTTGTATGGAAATGGCAAGAGAGGCTGTTCAGTGTAACATCTGCAGGAAATTGAAAACATGGAGTAGTTTTCATCTGGTCAGACTACCAGGCAGGAAAAAAAAGTTATATGATCCAAGAAATCTGGTACCAAAGGCTAGAGTTCTGTGAGTTCCTACCTATAGAAGTGGAAAAGATTCTATGATGAATGGGATACGACAGCTTTGGATATAAATTGTTGGATTGGTTACATGTCAGCTGTTAGCACTGAGCTGGCATGCAAAATTGCTTTTGTACTTGTTATAATCACAGATTTCTGGCATACAAATTGCAGCAGTTAAATGTGAACCATTACTTAAATGTAAACAAACTGAAGAGAAGTACTGTAATAATTTTAGGATTGTAGCCAAATAATTGTTCTACATTAGTTGTTTGTAGACCTATTTATAGCAGTACAAAGTTCATATAAACCTTTCAACAACAGAAAGGAGATTTTCTTTCTAGATCCTGCAATATTTCTTCTTTGATCTGTTTTTTTCCTGCCTGGTGTGAAATCCTACAGAGAGCAAACTGAGGGGAGATACAGCTACCCAGCCCTCCGTAGGAATAACAGCTACCCAGCCCTCCGTAGGAATACCGATTAGAGGAAAGTATATCTAAATGATAGTCAGTGATAAAAGGATGCATCATTTCAGAAATACAGTGGTGCCTCGACTTACAAACGTCCCTAGTTGCAAAAAATTCGAGATACGAAAAGCTCTGGCCACAAAATATTGCTTTGACTTGTGGCCGGAGCTTCGAGTTATGAAAAAAATGCAGGGGAGGCGGGAAAAGCGCAAAATTTAAATTTTCAGTTGACCGTTGGCCAACGAAGAGGCTGTGTGTCTGCTACCTCGCTCATCCCAGCAGTTAGAAAGTGGATAGGGAGAGAGTCTTCAGACTGCCTGGTACTGCCAGGTACTGTACTGTATGGACTGTATCTTTTTGGCTTTTTTAAAAAACTTGATTTTTGGATTTTTGACTGTTTTTTAAACAAAGAGACTGCCTGTTCTGGTAAACTGTATTTTTTGGCTTTTTTTAAAAAATTGATTTTTGGATTGTTGACTTTTTTTAAACAAAGAGACTGCCTGTTGTGGGTGAGTACATATACTGTACAGTATTTACTGTACTGTACAGGGTTTTTTTGCAGCTTGGTGAGGGGTAGGGCTAGGTGGGGGTTATGTTTCT